AGGCTTTTGATTACTTCCACTCTGCAGTGCAGGCATCAGCCTCTGTACCTTTAGAAACACATCTCTGATGTCATTTATACCTCTATTTTCATTCCTATCTTCTCTGTAGTTCTGCTGTTGCTTCTGTTAGGTATTTTTAGTCAGATAGAAATTGGATAGGTACTTTATGTATTAGAAATGTTTAGTGGAGATAGGATGTCTAGTTAGACTGTTAAATGCTTAGGCATGCTTATGAGTTTCTACAGGGTACATCTGGTCAAGGATAACTAGAGAGAAGAGTTGATGACTGTCAGCAGACAGGGTGTTTAATATTATTATTATGATGTGTATAACTGTAGCCTTAGCCATAATATGTTCTTATGTTTAAGTCACGACATGTTACTAGAAGTCTGTGAGAATGTTTTTAGCTACACACCACTTAATCAACAGACACACACGCACATTGATTTGCTTCATGTTTTGACTACTGCTATGGCCAGCTGCAAAGCTGGTAACAGAGACGTCTTGGTTGACGTTTCTGTGTAGTATGGGGCTAGCCCAACCGAGGGGATATAATGTATAGGCCTGGTGGGTTCAGGGTCTTTCATCTTACATCTGCCTGTGAGCAGTTTGGAGGTGCAAGATGCCTGAGCGTGTAATGTTAATTTTTACATGCATTCATGGAATAAATCAGCACTGTTTTGTAGTTACTTGGACTGTCTCGTCTCTCAGAGTCAGTATGGTAAAAAGTACCGGGTACAACACTTCATTCAGCCTTATACAATATCTGTTCTCGCCATAGTTAAACTGAGTTTCTCCATCTCTACTGCTTCCTCATAGTCTGAATCATTGTTTCTCTGTCCAGTCCTCTGTCTCATTCAGTCTCCACCCCCTTAAAGAGTATGCTTTTCCTTGTTTTCTGACTTATCTACAATGTTATAGTGGTGAATTATCATCTTAGGTGTGACCTAAAGCTCAGAAAATGAGGTATATGTACTGTATGTTCTAGTACTTCTATGCAGGAGCAACTCAGTTCAGCAGCGGTTCTCAAACATTTTTTGTCATTCCCCACTTAAGAGGGTGGGCGGATTTTCAAGCCCCACTTGTCAAAAAATTATAATGAAATTGGCCAATTTTAAAATTTCAAATTGATTGAAATATCAAATAACATTAAGTTGAAAACAGATAAAATATAAGTGCAACTATCATTTGACAGGGGGATAGTTTTCAATTTTACAGCACTTGTTTCATCCAGCATAATCAACACCATGTCTACAGTTACAGGGAGAATGAGCTGCTCAGCAATTGACTGGGGTGTGTTCTCTCTAAATGTCTTCTTAATTTGTTGGGTCTCATGCTGTCTGCTGCCAGCGGTTTAAGACACATGATCCACATGGGTCCTTCCTCTGCCCCACTGTGAATCCAAGTGCAAGATAGGCTTCATCATATTTTCTTTTTAGGAGTTTAAATATAAATATAAATGTATGTGTTATACAAGATATATGCACGAATAAGTAACAATCTGCTTTATCTATGTAGTGATATTGCTTGCAGCCAATGTTGCATAAATTTTGTATAATATGATGTCATGGGGTAGGACTGGATAAGTCTGACTTCTTCCTACTCCATTCAAACATGTATTAGGTGTAAGCAAATTGATTTTGAATTAGTATTGGTTGGATATGTGTAATCATGTGTGTTATTGTCATTTGATCATTGTTCTGTTCTGTTCTGTCTGCATGTTTGAAAGAATAAAGCAATCAATCAATCAATCAATCATTTCTAATTTTCTCCATTCATTGCACAACCCCTGTCATGTCTTTATTCCCCACTAGTGGGGTGCGCCCCACACTTTGAAAACCATGGGTTTATACAAGCCTTGCAAACTCTCATTCGCAAGACTTTTTTCGAACAAAATAAAAGTAGTGCAGTGCCTGAGGTTACTGCATGTCCAGAAATGGTTTACCTGCTTGTTAATACTGCTTATTTTGTTATGTTACACAGCCTTATGCTGGTTTACTGTTTGCACATTGAGAGCCGATGTACCTGAGTCAAATTCCTTGTGTGTCCGACACACCTGGCCAATAAAGCAGATTCTGATACTGATTCTGACTGGGTTTAACCTACAAGCAGCTGGCCTTTGAAGCTCCCTGGGGTGGTGAATGATCAGCTCATCAAGGCTGGGTTCCTAAGGAGCACAGTACCTGTTTGTTTTGACTACTTAAGGCCAGTGTGTCTGCTGCCTGCGATGTGTTGCTGCTTAACGAGCAGATTAATGATCCATGATATTATTGTCGGTGCTACTACCTGTTGGAATTAATTTCATTACTTTGGGAATGTATGTTGTCATGTGGGGGAAGTCTCAGTTGCCACCAACCTTGGAGCTACTTGAAAGTGTTAGGTATTTTTAGTCAGATAGATATTGGATAGATACTTTATGTATTAGAAATGTTTAGTGGAGATAGGATGTCTAGTTAGACTGTTAAATGCTTAGGCCTGCTTATGAGTTTCCGCAGGGTACTTCTGGTCAAGGATACCAGAGAGAAGAGTTGATGACTGTCAGCAGACAGGGTGTTTAATATTATTATTATGATGTGTATAACTGTAGCCTTAGCCATAATGTTCCTATGTTCAAGTCACGACATGTACTAGAGGTCATGAGAATGTTTTTAGCTACACACCACTTAACCAACAGACATACACATTCACACGTTGATTTGCTTCATGTTTTGACTACTGTTAGAGCCAGCTGCAAAGCTGGTGAGAGAGATACGTCTCGGTTGACGTTTCTGTGTAGTATGGGGCTAGCCCAACCGAGGTGATAAAATGTATAGGCCTGGTGGGATCAGGGTCTTCCATCTTACATCTGCCTGCGTGCATGTTGGAGGTGCAAGACACTTGAGCGTGTAATGTTAATTTTACCTGTGATTCTTTGAATAAATCAGCACTGTTTTGAAGTTACTTGGACTGCCTCGTCTCTCAGAGTTAGCATGGTAAGACGGACCATATCCTACAACGTGGCGCCATGACCTGCAAGCCAGCTGAACTCTGCAAGACAACCGGTCCATTTTCCTGAGTAATGGTCCCGGACCAACAGCAGTATTCCTGTGCCAGGCTGAGCTGGGCTGGAGATCCGACATGCGGTCCTGAGCTGAATTCTTCCCTGATGAGAGTGTGACCTCCTGGTTTCAGTCAGAGCTGTGAGCAGTCCCATACATCAACTGGCCGGCCAGAAACGATAGGTAAGGGGAACCTTTGTTATACATAAACTCCGCACATTGAATTTATTCTAAATTAAAGCTGATGTGTGGGCTGTCCACTCTCAACGTTCTAAATTGGTTCCTAAACAGTAAGGCTAAAGAAACACAGTTTTTTTTTCTGTTTTTGAAGGCTGTGCTGGTTTGTTCTTTGTCACATGTACAGTTACCAGAAGCACATAGTCTCATTTGAGGGGAAGTAAATGAGTGCCGTTGATCACAGAATTTGATGCCAATAAGGGACGTAAAACTCACGTTTTATAAGTGGATTTCTGCTATGTAAGTAGCAGTTGTCTCCTATATTTTCCCATTTCCTTGTTAATTTCCCTCCGGCTGGAGCAGAGGCAGAGACTCCTCTCAACCAAACAAATGACTCTCTGATATACACACACACATGTGATAACAGGCACAGGGAAAGCTGCTGGTCTCAATGTGGGGAGGATAACTGTACAAAGGCTAATTAAAACGTTTTTCCACAAGTGTATCACGTTGGACAACAGGTTCATTGTGAGAATTTGTTGTGGAGTTAACGTGCCTTGTACAGCAGTGTAAAAGTCCGGGTGGGAATAGATTTAGTGGGAAAATTGCATTAGATAGGGTGATTGTCTGTCCGGTTGAGATAAAACGGTGAAATCTGATTGGGAATCAACCCCAAGAAAGTCTGCGCAGAAAGGGTTAGCCGTTCTGTAGAAGCTTTAGACTTTGATCAGTCTCACCGGGCCAAGAGTCTCTCATAAAGGACAGCGTCACGTGTGGCATATTAATTTTTCATGATGGCTGACTGTGATGTCATTCAGGACTGGAAAAATTGCAAAGCAGGCACATTGGGGGCAATATTGTATCAATTATTGAACAAATGGCTTGGCACACTGAGTTTGAACCAACATTGTAGTGAAACTGATAGATTCGTTGGTTGGGCTCAAAATATGACTAATAAGGGTCTCTTTGGGTCCTATAACAAAGCCCCACCAGCAGATGGGGCTGTAAAACTGTTCATTAAACAGGCTGCACGCCTGACTGCACAGGCACATCTCTGCCATAAGACAGCGAGTTTGTTACAGAGGCACAAAACAGAAGCTAAACTTAAAGAATGTGAGACATTTTTACAGGACAGTGTCTGTTTTCTGGGAGAATTTGAAAAGATTTGAAGAGCCACATCGACCTTTACAACAGTGCATGTCTCTGATAATTCCTCCTCTGACATGAGAGCACACACACCCTCGGCCCCTCCTCCTCACACACAAGCTGCAGAAGAGACAGACTTTCAAAATAAAGCTCACCACCAAATACCATTGCGTGCTTTTGTTGATACTGAACACAGTGGTTCATCATTAGTTGTGATTAAATGTGAGCAAAATCATCACAATTAAAAGACCCAATGGCTTAAACTACTTCAGTCTGTGTACTGAATTTATATAATATACAAGTTTCACTATTTGAGTTGAATTATTGAAATAAATGGACTTTTCCACGATATTCTAATTTATTGAGCTGCACCTGTACATGTTCATATTGTTTTTATCATACAGATGTGAGAGTAGGACCAATCTTTGGGATCATAATCAGATAAAATAATATTTTTATTATTTAGTGTTTCAACAATTTCTCTGCTCAAAGTACATTTCATCACTGCTCAGGAGGAGCTTCTCAGTACCAGTTCTTGGTACAGTACTTTCAGGGTTTGGGTACAGTGTTGTTGATCATGTGTCATCTGCTCTGGTGAGCCTCCTGTACCTGCAAGGACATCTCAATGAGCACAATGAGCTTCCTGATGCCGATTCACACACGTTTTCCTTTGAGCTGGTGTGCGATGCTGGCCCGCTTTTTATCTGTGAAGCTCCCCAGTAGCTGCAAAGGCATCAGGGGAAAAATTTTGAATGCTAGTCTTTAAAACCTTCGAACAATAAGCCATTTGAACAAAGAGAGACAGTGAGGACATCAACTAAATTATGTTTAAAATGTTTTATTCCCCATGTACACCAAAGTTACAGACCTTTCCAGGCCATGTGTATAGGCACAGATAGGTGACAAATAAAATGGAAACCCCAACAAAAAGTGTCTTAGTATGGTGTTGGGCCACCACGTGCCACCGACTACTTTCAAAAGAACACCTGTGACTTAAGTGTATATGTAGTTGTGTGTTTATACCTCTAAGGCGTCGACTAACTGCTCCCCAGTAGAGATGTTGGGAATATGGATTGTTGTGCTGAAGGCATCCAACATCTCCATCTCCTGCAGTACATCCTTCCTGCTGGTGGTGCCGATGATGAGCAGCTTCCGACCCTATGCATATGGCAAATTCCCCAGTAAAGATAAAAAAATGCAATGTGCGCAGATATTCAGTAATATTAATAGGTATAATTTTCACACTTTCAAAGTTAAAAGCTTGACACACTAAGTTAATCCAGTTATTTATTGACACGATAAAACTGTAAAGCAAAATAGTAACTATATGAATACAGGTCTCATGACCTCTGACCTTGGGTGGAGCTTTCTTCAGCAGCACCAATAGAGCCCGAAGGACCAGGTTGGAGAAACGAGGGCCAATGGGGAAGTAGTCCAGCAGACGCTCAATATCATCCACCACCACACAGCTGAGCTGGGACTTATAAGCATCATCAAAGACCTGAAACAGTGCAAGGGAAGAAGGGCGGCAGGGAGGTGTAGAATTCCTTTTGTTAAAACTCAGGCTTCCAGTGTTTGTACTGCTTCTGCTACAGGGAATAAAAAGCATGATTATCACAGGGCAGTGCAAGTTGGGTCTGAAAGTGATAGTTCTGATGAGTGGGGTGACAGAGGTCATCCCTATTCTGCCTCTTTAAAACACAGTAGTAAATGTGGAGGAAATATACATGCATTTTTAGAGAAGCCTGCGACCCAAATGCCGCTACTTCAAACTGACACACCACAGGGCGGCGTTTCTGTGACGTACGCGCCGTGCTGTAGCCTTAGCCATAATATGTTCTTATGTTTAAGTCACGACATGTTACTAGAAGTCTGTGAGAATGTTTTTAGCTACACACCACTTAATCAACAGACACACACGCACATTGACTTGCTTCATGTTTTGACTAGTGCTATGGCCAGCTGCAAAGCTGGCAACAGAGACGTCTCGGTTGACGTTTCTGTGTAGTATGGGGCTAGCCCAACAGAGGTGATATAATGTATAGGCCTGGTGGGCTCAGGGTCTTCCATCTTACATCTGCCTGCGTGCATGGTGGAGGTGCAAGATACTTGAGCGTGTAATGTTGTTTACCTGTGATCCTTTGAATAAATCAGCACTGTTGTGAAGTTACTTGGACTGTCTCGTCTCTCAGAGTTAGCAATGGTAAGACGAACCATATCCTACAAAAGGGACTGATGTTTCCATTGTTTATTGGGACTTAATGGTAAGTTTAAAAAAAACAAGTTGCATGTCTGTTAATGCCTTGTTTCTGTAACGTTAGGGAGAACTGTTGTAAGGCTGGAGAAGTTACTATGTCTGCTGTGTCACAGTAGCAAAGGCACTGGTGAAGGAAATAATCCCCAGAGATGGAATACCTGAAATATATATAGTGACAATGGAAGTCACTTTGTAAACAGCGTAATATCATTGTTAGCCCAAACTCGACACTTAGACCACAACAGACAACAGAGTGTGCATAGATGCAATTGGCGGGCCCCGAGGAGTACCTGATGAGTTTAAAGCTAGAAATCAAATAGCTGCAAGGTTGGAATATTTTCTTTCCTGGTGAGTCACAGTAAATAAAAATGTGGATTGGATTAATTACTTATACTATGATCAACAACATTTTGTAAATTTTACCAGAGATGCAATAAGGGGCATAGCAGACCAACTAGGACCAACTTCTCTCATGGCATGGCAAAATAGGATGGCCCTAGATATGTTGTTAGCCGAGAGGGGAGGAGTATGTCAGATGTTTGGCACATTTTTTAGTACTTTTATACCTAACAACACTTCCCCAGATGGCAGCATCACCAAGGCCCTTGAAGGACTGACAGCTTTATCCGAGGAGCTGGCTGTGAATTCCAGCATCGACCACCCCTTCACCAGCTTCCTGGAATCCTGGTTCAGGAAATGGAGCAACCTGATCGCTTCTGGGTTGATCTCTCTGTCCATAGCTGCAGCCCTGCTGGTCATGTGTGGCTGTTGTTGCATTCCCTGTCTGTGGGGACTGATGCAAAGACTGAAAGACACTGCTCTGACTAAGACAGTGTACCAACAGGTCCATGACAGAGAAGGAGAAGATCACCAGAAACTGGATGATTGGGTTTGAAAAAAGACTTTCCTGTTTCAGATCTGAGTGAACCATGTATGACTTGTTTTAATGAAAACCTGAAAGGGAGTGTTTAAGCAATGAGATCCTGGGATGGACAAGATTAAGAATTATGCTGTAATTAAAATGATTCTAAAAGTTTAAACAGGAAGGAATGTTATAAAAATTCTGTTATTAGACATGATTTTTACCATTTAATGTGTTTTAAACTTTCAGAACAGAACCATGTGAGAAACTGGCTGTGTATAGGCCTGAATGACATTTTCTATCTTTCTTGTGAAACTCTGTGTACTGATATACTCAACTACAGACTGTTCGAGACGAAGCGAGACACAACCGTCAACTGTAGGATATGTGTCCCTGTATGATTAGTGTCTAAGTCATGTTATCAGGGTGTGCCTGTGTATTGGTTTAAGTTACATATTAATATGGATAATGTAATAGAATAGTGTTTATGGGTTCACTTTTAAGTTCATGTGAGCTGAACAATGATCTTATATAATTTGGTCAAGATGTTTCCTGTTTTGGGGTACATCTCAGGGTATTTTGTCTCCTAAAACTGGAGACAGGAAGCTAAGTTCGGAAATTGACGTAACAGGTCATTATTGGTACATACTGTTGTTTACCTATCTATGGAGGAGAAATTCAAATTAATTAATGCTGTTACAGTTCATTGCGCTGTCCACTTTTAACACAACACTGGCAACAGGAGTTGTGTGCAAACTATCCTTTGGTTTTTAGGAAGAGGTTCTGTGGTTTTATCATTCTGAAATAATTACAGACTATTTGGAGTTATGAGGGGTGCAAAGCTAATCTAGAGGTACCCAAGACTAAACATTAAATGGCTGGAAATGAGCATGCCATGGGCACTTTAAGCTTATTTTTCAGTCTCTTCCTGTTTCAATCTACTGCTTAGCTCCTTCTGTTCCTCTGAAAAGTCATATATTTGGTTCTGAATTGAGTGTAGAGGCTCTGTATGTCTGGTCAGTGACAGACAAGTTCATCAGTAGGTTTGCAGCCTTAAGCTAACCTCATACAACTGGCTCACCTATTGTTATCACCACCCGGTTACACATTCCCACCTTTTCTTGTTCTTTCTCTGTCCCTTTCACTCATGCACATGGATACTCATGCTGCTGGCAGTGTGTCTGTGAGGATAAAATGCATTTTACAGACTGGTAGAAAACTGAAGGTGCGGAGGATAGAGCTACAGTATCTGTGGGCATGACAAGTGTCAGAAAAATTACATTTCACAAGGCAAGGACCACAACCTGACATAGCTTAAGTTTGAATTAAGAAAAGAAGTGCTGGTCGGACAGCGGGGCAGATTTGGCAGTTGGTTGATTTGGCGGCTGGAGAAGGAACGTAGGAGTTGTTGGTTTTGGAGTGAAAAGCAAAGAGCCCAATTGTGCTACAGTGGTGTGAAAAAGTGTTTGCCCCCTTACTGATTTCTTATCTTTTTGCATGTTTGTCACACTGTAATGTTTCAGATCGTCAAACAAATTTATATATTAGTCAAAGATAACACAAGTAAACACATCATGCAGTTTTTAAATGAAGGTTTTTATTATTAAGGGAAAACAAAATCCAAAACTACAAAGCCCTGTGTGAATAAGTGTTTGCCCCCTAAACCTAATAACTGGTTGGGCCACCCTTAGCAGCAACAACTGCAATCAAGCGTTTTCGATAACTTGCCATGAGTCTTTTACAGCGCTGTGGAGGAATTTTGGCCCACTCATCTTTGCAGAATTGTTGTAAGTCAGCCACATTGGAGGGTTTTCGGGCATGAACTGCCTTTTTAAGGTCATGCCACAGCATCTCAATTGGATTCAGGTCAGGACTTTGACTAGGCCACTCCAAAGTCTTCATTTTGTTTTTCTTCAGCCATTCAGAAGTGGACTTGCTGGTGTGCTTTGGATCATTGTCCTGCTGCAGAACCCAAGTTCGCTTCAGCTTGAGGTCACAAACGGATGGCCGGACATTCTCCTTCAGGATATTTTGGTACACAGCAGAATTCATGGTTCCATTTATCACAGCAAGTCTTCCAGGGCCTGAAGCAGCAAAACAGCCCCAGACCATCACACTACCACCACCATATTTTACTGTTGGTATGATGTTCTTTTTCTGAAATGCGGTGTTACTTTTACGCCACACATAATGGGACACACACCTTCCAAAAAGTTCAACTTTTGTCTCGTCTGTCCACAGAGTATTATCCCAAAAGTCTTGGGGATCATCAAGATGTTTTCTGGCAAAACTGAGACGAGCCTTTATGTTCTTTTTGCTCAGCAGTGGTTTTCGTCTTGGAACTCTGCCATGCAAACCATTTTTGCCCAGTCTCTTTCTTATGGTGGAGTCATGAACACTCACCTTAACTGAGGCAAGTGAGGCCTGCAGTTCTTTGGATGTTGTTGTGGGGTCTTTTGTGACCTCTTGGATGAGTTGTCGCTGCGCTCTTGGGGTAATTTTGGTCGGCCGGCCACTCCTGGGAAGGTTCTCCACTGTTCCATGTTTTCGCCATTTGTGGATAATGGCTCTCACTGTGGTTCGCTGCAGTCCCCAAGCTTTAGAAATGGCTTTATAACCTTTTCCGGACTGATAGAGCTTCATTATTCTCTTTCTCATTTGTTTTTGAATTTCTTTGGATCTCGGCATGATGTCTAGCTTTTGAGGATCTTTTGGTCTACTTCACTTTGTCAGGCAGGTCCTATTTAAGTGATTTCTTGATTGCGAACAGGTGTGGCAGTAATCAGGCCTGGGTGTGGCTAGAGAAATTGAACTCAGGTGCGATAAACCAGTGTTTTGACAGGGGGGCAAACACTTGTTCACACAGGGCTATATAGTTTTGGATTTTGTTTTCCCTTAATAATAAAAACCTTCATTTAAAAACTGCATGATGTGTTGACTTGTGTTATCTTTGACTAATATATAAATTTGTTTGACAATCTGAAACATTACAGTGTGACAAACATGCAAAAAGATAAGAAATCAGTAAGGGGGCAAACACTTTTTCACACCACTGTATGTTCAGACTGGACAGACTGATCTTTTCACAGATGTGTGAATAAACCATATTCGATCTTTGCAGATTAGATCTACAGCACTTGCATATGTGGTCCTAGATCAGATTGATATCGGCCTCTGACCATGTGACCATTATCAGAAAGTTCAGATTGGAATTAATGTTTTTTTTTTTACATCTCACTCCTCAGCTGTCATCATCATTCCGTGCAAGACCTTCACAAACCGGTAAAAGTAAACACGGAGGAGGGCAACAATAGTGACGGGGTTCAGTGGAAAGATAATGATGTTTCACATGTGGAAAAACTTCAGCTCAAGCCAAACTGGAAGGAATATATCATAACCAGTTTTTGAGGAAATTGTGCAATTTACCATTGCACAAATGATGTTGTTATTCTTGTGCTCACACTGAGTTAAATCTGCATGTGTGGCAGTTTAGAAGTGCAGCAGTGTTCAGGTCAGAGTTGGATACGTGTCTTCTTCAAACATGGATAAGAACCATGAACAAAAAAACATCCAGTCTGACAAAAAGATTAGAATTGAGCATTAAGGCCGTTATGTGAATGTGGTGTTAGAGTATCCTGGTTTAACAGAGACAGACAGATGGAGAGAAAACAGTGGCGACTGGACCGAGGAGAAAGTGCTTGAGTATATTAGCAGTATGTTATAAAAAGAATGGTTAGCTTGTCATTGTGTAACCTTAGCATTAGTGTATTATCATTCCTATATCAGATGCTTGAACAGTGAAATATTTCTGGTGTGATTTAGGATTAGGAGACTTTGTCTAAACAGCGTGTTAGAGTAAGGCCAGACTTACACTGCAAACCCTGCCTAAAGGTGTAGCTCTACATTTTGTTAACTATTTCTATACAATTTGCTTTCTTTTTAGTGGTTAGATGAAATATATCAGTCTCATGGCTGTGAAGAAAAACAGCATTAGTCATTTTAGTAAATGCCTCAGAATAAGTTATGTTCACGTGACAAAGCCCTGTAGTGCTCTGTAGTAAATATGATGGGAGCAAAGGAGGAAGTCATGTGACTTTATAGAATGACAATGTTCATAAGGGAGGCCATGGTGGATGAACATGTGAATAAAACATTGGACTTTAACTTGGAAGATTGTGGTGTATTTTCCATTTCAATCCAACTGTCAGTGTTCCTTTTTTAAAGCATGACCATGATGGCCCACAAACTTTAACTAAGTGTTTATTGTTGTAACCAAGACAACACTTTGCAAAGTGGGCTGCAAAAAGGAAAAACCACCATTCTTACTGAAAATCCATACACATGAGATTATTGTTGAAGCTGTCATTTTATGCAACTCATTGAAACAGACTATTGCCTTTACACTCACTGGCCACCTGGTACACCTGTACAATTGTATGCACTTCAATGCCATACTTCTTGAAATTGTCATAAATGTATCAATTCAATTATATGTTTATTATTGAGGTCATAGTTAAAGGTGGTGTTGTACTGGACTACATTATATTTAGAGGTGTTTCTAATATTCTGACAATCTCATGTATGTAGCTGGGGAGGAAAATATAGGCACCTCTGAATATAACGTAGTCAAGTACAACACCAGATTGTGCTGACTGGGCATACAGACTCAGTACATAGAGGCACAGATAAACTTTCCTCCACCCCCCAGAGGATAAGTGCTATAGATAATGTTTTAAAAAGAGCTTCAGAGAAGTGGAGTGAATAGTTAATGCAAAACTGCAGGACTGTGTTTAGGCAACAAAAACACATTGGTTAAGATTCTGGAAAAATTGTAGCTTTCTCCAAGACAAAGAAACAAGCAAAAACATAAGTGCACAATCCACAACACTACTGAGAA